TCTCTTGGTCTGAAAACCATTTTGGTTTAATTTTTAATAGAAACTCTGCAGTGGAAATATAATGAAGCGGAAAGCAAAGGAATCTTCTGATGAAAGCTTGAAAGTCACCTTGGCAATAAATTAAGCCTATGGAGGTTGCATACTATATATTTGAATGCCAAAGTAACATCTTCCCAAATTGTTGTCTCAGATTACTATTCTTCCATGTAACTTCTTTTAAGCAAAGATCTAAGTGTCTTTTGATGCTCCTTGACTGCAGAACACAAGCTCATATTATTCAGAATTTCATTTGGTCGCAGCATATCACAGTTAATCTAGAAAAGATATGATAAACTTGTGTTTGAAAGTGATTTGAATTGTAGTACCGATGTATTCAGTTGGGCCCATTCAGGAAGTTCAGAAGTTGCTTGAGAGAAAAGTAGAACACGTTTACTATTATTTTCAAAAGAAGCAGAGACATTTTATTCTAATTACTTCCTCCGAATGATATGGTTTGAAATAATTCTCAAATTTAGTCTGGGTTTGTTGTCAGTATATATAGAAGAAACCACAGATCTCTCAAGGAGAGACTGCCACTTAAAACTAGTTTATGTGATGCCATAGGCCAAGTATTTTAAATACGGCTTTTTGTTTGCTTGATGAAGAACTATGCAGAATTTAAAACCTTGCAGAATATTTTGTTATTTGATATTTTTTTTTACCTTTAAAAATGTTATTCCACCAGTAAGGATTGTGAAACGTATTGCAGCAGTAGTCATTACAACAAACGTTTACGTGATTGTAGACATTGTACAAAGAAATGTTATGGTGGCAAAAATTCAGAAAATATATGCCTTTCAGTAAAATTTGATAGTTAGAAAAATGCTACCAGATTTTGTAAACCAATAAGCTGCAAAGTAATATAGTCAGAGGATCAGGGCTATCTGGACCTAAATCTGGCATTTGAATTTCATTTTCTTACTGAGAGCTCTTGCTGAAGCCTTATTTGAAACTGATAAATATAAGACCAGGTTATGATATATTCAATTAAACTACAGTTAAATAAATTATGACTTAATACAATGTGCAGATCCAGCCCGAGGGCAGGGCTGGTTCACCCCAATCTTACAGACATGTACACTCCCAAATTTCCAGATGCTCAAACTTGTAGAAAGGCAAGACCAGCCTGAATATGAAGTAATGTCTTAAATTCCTAACTATAAATCACTGTCATATATCTGGAATGAGGAAGAACAGAAAGGCCTCAGCCCCAGGACCTCTTTCTTTGGATCTCAACCAATGGATCTCCTTTATTGCTGATGCTCTCAAAAGTGGCTTCTGCTGTTATTGGCCACTGAGGTTACTACTGAAATCCTTCCATTCCAGTTGCTGGGAACTGCCCTCAATGGCCATTTCAGGCTGCATCAAGGACATCTGGTATCTGCGGAGACATCTATCTTTCATAATATCAGGTCCTTAATAAATACAAGTTCAGCATCTTTTGAAAGAGGGCATGTCTGCATTTGAAAACAGAACTCTCACTTTCTGGAAAGAGTATTACTCTTATGTTACACACCTTAATTTATAAGAGAAGACAGGTGGATTCAAACAACTTGCTTTGTTGCAGGTCTTCACCATTGGGTGTATTATACACTTTCTGCTGTTTCTGTAAGTAACCAAAATAGTAACTAATACAGCTATGCAAAGGCTGTATGCAGTGCCTCTGCATGGTTGTATTAGTTTTTGTTTTATTACTTGGAGATAGGGGTGGTATGGAGTAATGGCACCACCTTGTCTTCTCTGCTTTAACTTCATGGTTGTTTATGGGCGACTTCTGGATGTCGCAAGGCACGTAGATAGAAAGCTGCTAGCACTACTATTTCCTCTGCCTCTCTCAAGAACAGAATTGCTTTTTATCTATTGTTCATGTCTGCTTTCTCCTGCACTTCTATTTTTCACCTGTGAGTTGGGCTAGGCTTGGGTTCAGGTTTAGGACTCTTTCAGAAAAATGGTAGACCCTTGTTCAAAAGTAGCCTGATAGTCTGCTTCCTAACATTTCTTAACATTTCTTCAGGCAATCTAACAGGTGGCTAAACATGACTTTCCAAGCACACATCTACACTTGTCCAATCCTGCCATGCCACACCTTACAGAAGGTGATTGGTGGTTGGTTCCCTGCCAGTCTACAATGCTTGGCAGGAGGAGAAATGAAGCTGAGAGATTCTACCAATCACTTTCTTTACTCATCCTTCATTAAATCAATAAGAGCAAGATCACTCACCAGCCTTGTTATTTTGACAGAGTAGAACTTGACAACTGAATCAGCAATTTTTTTGCCAGCATTACTTCGAACTCAAGGACTTGTGGGCATCCTTCAATAAGTTATCTAACTGTGTCCAAATGTGGAATGCCACAAATTAAAATACTATAACAATCAATGTAGTGTATATGCTGCTTTAAATCAAAAAGTACAGAACAAGGAAGCACTAGTGAGACAAAAGAAGGTAATAAAAAAACCTTCTCTGCATAATTTATAGCATGCTATTAGCATTATTTTATTGCCACATCAAATGTTTTGCAACATTCCAGAAAACACCATCAAATTTGGCGTCTCTGACTCAAGCACCATTATTATCAATTCAAGTTAGTACACACATAAAAAGCTTATCTTTCTATCTAAAGTTTAAATAGTAAACATTTAACTTGGGGTGTGGGATAGAAAGAAAATAATTTAATTTTCTAGAGAGGCAAGCAAAAATTAGTACTGTATGCTCCATTTAATGCCTACATTTAAAAAAAATAATCAACCAGTGTTTTTGAAACCCATTGTCTTCAGTCCAGTATCACACATCTACGTATCAGTTCTCCAGAGACAACTGCTGACACTAATCAGAAGAAAGTTTATATCTATTTAAAAAGGCAAAAGTTTTTCAACATAATTATATTTATTGAGACACTAAATTGAGATTGTGAAATGCAGTGTGAATTACAAGTCCACCTTCCTTTTGAAAAGACCCGTCACCTCTGCTTGTGTTTCTGTGATTTAATGTTCTTCTCTTTCTTTTCTGACTTTTAGAAATTTACCAGGTAATATTCCTCCACCACTGACCTGATTTCCCCAGAAGGAAGTCCACAAAAGGAAGATCATCTTTTCATGAAGCCTCTCAGAACACTAAATAAGGCTAGGAGAAGCCTTATTTAGGCTGAAGAATACCAGCAGTACAAACTGTTTTTCACACTGGTGTCTTCCAGATATCTTGGTCTACCATTCCTATCAACCTCCTATGATTATGTAAGCCCATTACATCTTGGGGAAAAAGTTAAGGAGATGGATAAGAAATTCCTGGTTCTTCTGCACCCATTTGGCCTGAGATTCATGAGACCCATGAGACACCACTTATTAATCCCTAAATTTCATTCCTTTAAATTCAAGGAACCCAATAATATTTTCACAATATTTCCTTAACAGAACCCATTCAAATAAGATATGCAGCAAAAATGCCTGACCTGCATATCATGAATTATTTATTATTATTAACCAGATTCAACTGAACATTTGTTCTCAAATCATCCTTAACTTATTCAACTTCTTTGGAGTAGCAAGATCAAGAAAGGCACTGAGAGAATATTGGGTGTATGTAAACAACCTAAGGCCAAAAGAGTTGGACAGGACAGCATTTAAAGATGGGAGTGGAACATCCATAAAAGGTACTTATAAACCAACTTTTGAAAAGTAGCAAAATGTTCAGTACGTAACCGTGAACAATTAAAAGACAGATGGCAGGCCATCTCTATTTTTGATGGACAATTCCTGCTGGGATTATGACCAGCAGCACTGAACAATGATGAAATGTATAGTTTTCTTTTCTGTAAACTGATATCATCCAATAATAATACATTTCCTATTCCACAAGTCCCAATCATCAAGCTTATCCTGTCTGGAAATTATGGCAACTGTGATCCAACACTTCAAGTTTGTATAAGGCTCTAGTTTGTGGAAGGCTGGTATGCCAACTTGATAAAAATGAAATCCACAAACTCAAATGTGGCTTACTTTTCAGTAGCCTAGGATTTCATTATAAATCTAAATCAGATCCAGCCAAACTTCATATTCGATTAGAACTACTAGCCACTGATTATTTCTTGACAGTAAAATGATTTTAGATTGGTGCTTCCATTTTTTTCGTTCTGAAAAAAAAATCAAAGTAAATGGCCTCCAGGGAGATTTAAAAATTAAAATTCTTTGAATATATGCAAAAGCTGGGACAAACCCGCTTCTGCCACCGTCCATTGAGAGCTTCAGCTTTTTATCTCCCTTCCTTACAAGGTAGAAACATTCTCTCTTATTCACACATACGCTTTTGTATAGCAATCCAGATAACCCCTAATTTAACTCATGAGTAATTCAACCAGACTTCAGACTTCAGGCTCATAATCACTGATTATGAGTGCACGGATTGCAACAAAACAGCCAACCAGAACAACAACAACAACTCCTTTCTCGAAGGGCGGGGCTGTAAAGACAATCTCCTACACTAGATCGACTATAGACCCGTCCCGGACCCAAAAGAGGGAAATGATCTCCCGAAGAACTAGTAATCCGGTGCATTCTCCTGATTTGCTTTGTTAAACTAAAATCCGGGCGAACCCGTTGAGAAAAAGTCAGTTTTCCATGAAAACTTCTCAGATCCCATCTGCAAAAGCTGCCCCCCACAAAACCCACCGAGTTTAACAACCGAAGTTGCGTTTATTCTCTCTCCCACTCGCCTCGCCCTGCCTTCCCTCAGGGTTGGCCCCTATACAAGAGTAGTTCCATGCTGTTTATCGACCCCGTACAATAAAATTACACTCTCACACAGAAGGCGTAAACCGAGAAACTAATTGGCACGCAAGATTGTGTCTGTTGTGCAATTCTTCTTTCCCTCTTTTTCCCTTTTCTTTTTTTTCTTCGCTCCCTCTCCCATTAAATCTTCCATGATTCAAATCACACGTACAATGTATAAGCATTCACAATGACCTACCTTGGGTAGTAGAACCGCTTGGCCAGACAGAAACCAAGAGAAACCCCATTCCGAACCAGCAGGGACAAAAAATGTGGCCCATTGTTTTATCATTGCAACCCCCTGCGCATAATGTTGTTCTAGACTAAGAAGTGGAGTTATTTCCACACAGCAATCTTCAAAAATGTTCCCACCAGCTTCCCTCCACACTTCTTGGCTACCTAACTTTTCAACTCCTTTCACTTCCTTAAAAAAAAAAGTCACCACCTCTGTGGGCTGGTTTTTTTTTTCCTTCTCCGCCAACGCTAAACATCAGGAACGCGCCGAGCGCGGGCACGAGAAAGATTCCAGTTCCCCCGGGAGCGGCTAATGAGCTCCTCTGGGAACGTACGTAAATTATGCCTATGGAAAGTACAGCAGCAGAAGAAAGCTTTCTCTTTTCTCCCCCACTTTGATTCAGTACTGCTGAAGTTCAAATTTTCTTTTTGGCTTCGGATTTTTTTTTAACTTGTAGATCATTGGTTGACTGACGAATGCAAATCTTTAAGTAACATAGAAATATGTTACTTTATGGAGCCCACGTTACTAACGGAGCCCACCCTCCATTAAAAAATTGCAGAACAAAAAACATGATCGATAAAATTAGCACCATAAAACGTTACACATCCACAAAGATCAGTAATAACGCCAAAATTTAGATGATATATTTGTAAAGTGCTTCTAAATTTGTATTAATCTTGTATTGTCTTGAATGAGTGGGAAGATTGTATCAATCTTGAATGAGTTGATGGGAAAAAAGCTATTTGAGAGACTGATTAATCAGAAAGATTAGCCTGAAAGATTAATTGTAAAGTTTTTAACTTTGATAATAGAAAAGCATACTATCTATGCATAACAGGTTTTTTCCCCTAAAGGGCTGAAAGAAATCAATATTATTTTCTCACCTATTTCAAAATACAAAAGAGTTACTGATACAAAACAGTTTCAATAAATAAGTAAATAAAGCTATAAGGTAAAAGTTATATTTACTTGTATACCAGCATTTAGGGATGTGTGCATATATTTTGTTTGCATAAAGAGAATAATTTGTTTTTTTATCTTTTAGTTTTTACCTAATTTTTACCTAATTATTTTTTTACCTTTCCATAAGAATCATGAATTAAAATTGCCCTAATCAAGTTTTTAAAAATTCACTATGTAACCCTATGTTTAATAACCGATATTACTGAATTAATGAAGACTAATTTCTGTATAAGATATGACTGCAATATAAAACAAAAACATAATTTTAATCAAAAGCATCTAAAAGGGAACACGTGTAAGTCAAAATGTAGTTATTTAAGTTTATCATATTATGTGTTCACTGTTTGTAAACTACGAATTAAGCTGTGCATATTTATGAGTTATTCAACAAAACTATGGTTTTGTGGAAATTGTAGAATGACTATAAGTATTGCTTATGTTTACAGTAAGTTTCATGCACTGTGAATTAAACTTGAATTCTCTTTCTGGGAAACAGGTGCTATGTACTGTAGGAAGTTAGCACCCATCCCTCTCCTAGAAGAATAAAATATTCTAGGAAATATTAAGAAGGCAGAATATTATATTTCCCTGGATCAGAAATGGAGTGTTCTTAGGCAGGAAACAGACTCACTCTTAATAGCCCCATTTTCTTAATGGGCCATTAAGATGCCCAAGGCAGTCTATTCTACATAATAAAGAGTTCTCTCCTTCAACTCCAGAGTAATGGGATTAAGGCATGATAGTGTTAGTCCTTCACCACTCAACACATGGCACCTGGAAATTCAAACTTGGACTCAAAACAAAGCCTAGAGTTGCCCCTGTATGGCCCCATGGGAGTCTGACAACCAAACAGAATACAGGAAACAGAGGAATAGGAAACAGAGAGTATAAAGCCTGGAACTTTCAGCCCTTCTTTCTCTTTCTTGTTCTTCACCCAACACTGAAACACGTGATCACCTTTTCTGTTCAGGACTCAAGCCATGTGGTCCTGTCCACCAGTAAACCATCTTTCCAAGCAGCCTCCATGTCTCTAGTGTCTTTTCCCCCACTTGGAGCTGAACCCAAAAGGACATTTCTTCCAACAGTACTTTAACAATAAAAATGAAACATAATGTTTATTTCCTGCTTTCCACTCAACGGTCAACTGAGATTATGTTTCTAGAATATAATGATCTCCTCAGATGTGGCGTGGGATGAATGGTGGGAAAATCTTTTCTGCAATGCCCCTCCTTTTTGGAAATGAAGTTGCTCCAGAAAGCATAATCAAAACATCAGAGAGGCCCACTTACAGGCTTCATGGCTGCTTGTTTGGCCTCAGGCAAATGCCCTTCTCTTTCGCTAGGCTGTTAAAAAATTACCTCCGGCCTCTTACATGCACTTGCATACCTTACTTGGATTGAATGCCTCTAGAGGAATATAATGCTTTTTAAGAACACCTACAATACCTGTTTGAAATGTCCCTGATGACTAATCAGCAGAATGTGCAAAAGAGTTTTAGCACGTAGGTAAAGGGAGAAAGTTATAAAGGAAGTGAGCCCAATAAATCACAAGAACTATATTCTGCCATGCCCAGTGAAATAAACAGGAGGGTGCAGCTGCAGCATCATTGCTGGAGAGAGGCCTGTTCAACTTCTGGATATGAACAGCTCATAAGGGTCTGCTGGAGTGATGACAAAACATGTTTTGTCATTGCAAACTCCATGACTTCTTGCATACTTGGCTGAGACAGAGGGATATAAGTACATTAGAGCACAATTTGCACAAAGTCACTACAAAAGTTGACATTCACTGCAAGTAGCAATGCAACAGTTGGATTACTGTATGGGTTTGCTATTTTATTTATTTATTTATTTTTTAAATTAACAAAAAAGAAAAGCACTGTGGGAAGTTATCATCCAGCCCTCTCCCAGAAAAATGAAATATCCTAGGAAATATTGAAAAGGCAGAATATTTCTCTGGATGTGAGGAGAAAGAAACATGTTTTAAGAGACAGAAAAGTTGCCTGTAGCTTCCTTTCCATCCCCACTTTGTCAATGGGCCATTGAGAATGCCAGGCTAGTCACTTTGCATAATAAAGACTTCTCCACTGCAGCCCCAGGGGGGATGGGAGTAAAGGCATGATAATGTTGGAACTTTACTCAACTGATCACAAGGCATCTGAGAACTCATCACAGCCTAGAGAGTAGCCCCATGGGAGTCTGACAACCAATCAGAATGCATTTCTTACACAGGAACAGGAAACAGAGAGGTGGGACTAAACAGGGTATAAAAAGCCTAGCAAGCCCCTTCCTCAGCCCTTCTCTGTCTCCATGTCTCCAGTGTCTTCTTCCCCACTTGGAGCTGAACCCAGAAGGACATTTCTTTCAACAGCACAAAAATAGTTATAATGTAAACACAAAAAATATACATAAACAATGCATAAAATGAAAATGTATAACCAAAAAAAGCAAAGTATATTTCACTGTAGCAATCAAGTTACAATTACATACACAATATTATATAAATACACAAATTTCTAATGCATTTATTTAACTATCATTCGGCATTTTTGACCTACTGTATTTTGTATAAATGAATTCCATCTTTCATTTTATTCATCTATACAAAATCTAGGTCTATGTGCAGTACACTCCTAGTTGGCAAATGTAATTAGTTCTTCAGTCCATTGAGTGAACTAGGGTATATATTTATCTTTCCAGTGTTGTGGTAGCCGTTTTTAGCCAAAGAAAGAGCACAGAGCACATTGTTCGTTGTCAAATTCCGTGTAACAAAATGCTGTTTTGACCATTCTTTTCTATATAAACATAAATTCTAATTATTTTTTGTTGTATAAATTGTAATCTGACGTCTACTGGCACTCTTGCTGTAGAAGACATTCTCCCACTGTTTAGGCAATATAGGAAGCTGATATTTTATTTCACCCATTTCTTAGCTTCTGTATATCAAATTGATTTATTAATAACAAAATCTGTAAAACTGATTTTTTTTTTAGTTTTAAAGTATTTAACCAGTTATTCTGGGATCTCAGAAGCTGAAATGCTGCTGGTCAAACAATGTTGTTAACAATTGTTGTAAATATTACGATTGGGTTACATCTGCCATATTAATATGGCTAAAATTCATCTTTATCATCTATCATTTGTCCAAAGAGATAAATTTTGCTTACCTCCAATGTTTCCTTTTCATCATCATCTTCCCAATTTTTAAAAGTTCAATTTCCCCATAAGTCAAATAAGCATGGAAAAAAGTGTTAAATCTTTTTTTATTGACATTACATTCCGTAGCTTTCTAAGTGACTTGTTTCCATAGTTCTAGTGTACCTAGACTTTAGAAATAAGATTTAGAAATAACCCAAATAATGTCATCTGCAAATAAAAATAGTTCATTATATGATCAACTGAATACCATGAGTTTCTTTTGGAGGCTGAGTTCCAGCTGAGATATAGACAATGGCTTTGGGAGATCATTTTTTCCATCTAGACTTGCTCGGTTTGAATGATTTTTAGTTCTGTTCTCAATGGTTGCACTGAGTGCTTTCAGAAGCCCACCAATTTCATTCCACCAGAAAAGAATTTTTTTAGTTAAACAAAGTGTGCTAAATGAAGTGTATTTTTAAATGTAATTTAATTTACAGTTAATCTTCTGGTTACAACCATAACTGAGCCCCACAATGATGGTTGTAAGTCAATGGTGGGTTCCGGATCCCGGTGCTACTGGTTCGGTGCAACAGGGCCCGGCGGCCATCACATTAATGCGTGCAGTTCGCATGTGCGCGTGCACAGCGCGTGCATGCATCCTTACCTTCTGCAATGCTCCACAACACCTCTGCAACGCCTCTGCAACCCTCCAGTTGCTCGGCGAAGCGTCATGCAGGTGCCGTATGTTGCACGCGCATGTGCAAATGGCCTGTTTCCTTCAAGTACAGATAAGGAATGAGGGCGGGTGAGTGGGCCCTCCAGAGCACCAGAACGGTACCCGGTGCTCCCGGCAGACACCGGCACACCCATACCAGGGCATACCGCTGGCAACCCACTACTATTACAAGTCATGACAGTAACTGTAAGGCAGGTCGCTATGTAACTAGACCCAATTTTACAATCTTTCTTGGGGAGATCATTAAGTGAGTGTGGCAGTTGATAATTGAACCTACTGCTTGCTATGGGAGAGTTTTTGCTGGAAAGGAGAAGTTAAATTCTGGTTTCCAGTAA